AAAGGTTTACTTTATAGTAGATACAGGTCAAATCGAGATGCATTTCTCCCAATTCATTATCATAATTTGAAAGCCTGGTCTTTGGAAGCCGCTAGAACAATCTCATTTCCGGAATTTAAAGCAAGTCCGAAATTCATCTATAATTTCAAAAAAACTACATAAATAACATCAAGGAAAATAACAAAGTTTATTACAAAGAAAACAAGAAGAAAAGAAAGTGACATTTAAAAATCAGCCATAGAATTTGTGGTGATGATCGTGTCATTGCAAATATAAACGATCGAATTTTCATAATGAAAATGCACTCTTTCATTTATAATCAACTTTCTAGCCCTCTATACCGTGACATGCTGTGCTATGCTTGGAAAGCATCTGGTTATAAAGTTGAAAGAGATTTACCAAGCTTCAACTCTGTTTTACGTATCAATTTTGATATAAACGTGGAAAAATGTTCGGTCGTTGATTGCATCAAATTGCTGATCACTAAATGTTCTTATTGCAGAAAACCTCTTTGTTCTTATCCCTGTGTTTAAGAAAGTATGTATTTGCATTAACATCATTAACACATTAAACCAAAAATTCATTCAAAATACTAAAAATGCATTAAAAACTAATTAAAATACATTTAAAATCAATTTAAATCAATTTCAAATTAATTTGAATCAATTTAAAAATGTAAAAAAAATGTCTCAAACAGGATTTGAACCCAAAACCTAGGCTTCCTTTGTAACCCTTTGACCACTGCGCCACCGCAGTCGCTTACATAACGTAACATAGCTTTTCATTATAACCAAAATACTCAAATTTTAAACCCAAATATCTTAGGAACCACTAACCATACAGATGAAATACTTTCTATTATTTCTTAGGTAAGTCCCCTCTATCGATTGTACCATGTCTCACCTTCAAAGGAGCAAACAACCTGGGAACGTTCCCTTGTAAGTACATTTAATTGCATTATGTATTCAAATTTAACAGATTATAATAAGATAGTTAGTCACAATTGAAAATGGAAAATTGGTAGAGATATTCACTGGAAGAAGTCAGAAGTAAGTCTTGATAAGGATAACTACAGAAATAGGAACAATAATGAATAATAATACTGTTGATAGTTGCTTTTTAAAAGCAAGATTTTATTATTTTTTATAAGAAATTTTCAATTTTCACATTGAGATAAATTCACTTTTTTTGAGTACCTGAATCAAAGCCTCACTTCGACCAACCACTCTCTGTTACCAATTGAAAAGAATTCATCTTTACTAAATAAGAGTTCTGTGCAAACTGAATCTTTATTGTATATTCTACAATATAAATACCAATTCAACATCTAATGTTTTACAATAATCAATAAGGGTGTACCACCTCAACTGACTACATCAACTGTAATCAACTATGAATACATAGCAAAGGGTGTGTTACAATTTATTCATTTTTCTACTCTTTTTCGGTGGCAGCTCAACCCCAACCTCAACAACACCAACAAAACAATTGGCATCAAAGTAAGCTTCTTTTTCTATGCATGCATTGACTTTGTATTATTTTATCTAACTTTTTATTTTTAGTCAACACACCACACCATACCGCACCACACTAACACCAACCCAACACCAAAACAAAAAAAAAGTAAGTTCTTCAATAAAACTAAGTAACAGTAGACTTGTTGAATATAACCAGCCACTGAAATAAAGCACAAAGAAAAGAATCTAAACTTGATACAAAGTACCGAAAAATTGGAGACTTTAGAGTAACAAAACTAATAAATCAAATTGATTGAATGTAAAATTGCATATGAAACTTCATCGATATTTTATAATGGAAAAAGATAATAGAATACCTTCTATTATTATTACTAATCTCGACGAGGACTCAACGCAGGCTACAAAAGCCGCTAAAAACCTTTATGAGACTCACTCACGTAGTCCTCGTAAACATCTTGACTTGATCTCATTCTCCTAAATCTAACTCATTTTGAAACGCTTTTATTACTCTTTTATTTGGCCCCTTATGCATGAAATTGTTAAAACGATGTGTAAACACGAGCATAAAACTTGATTTCTAGATTTGACGCCAGTTTTGCGTTTTTTAAAATGTATGCGCACGTTTAAATTTCTTTTAAAAAAAGATTTCCACACCTTGACTCGATCCTCTCACCCTCTCAATATTCAATCAACTTGACCAACTCTTTAACCACTGTGCTAATAATTAGTTTAAAAAGTGAAGTGTATTGTATAAGCAGACACTCCAGGATCTCCAAACCATAATTTCGTGGTTGGCATTTGTAAACACCGCTGTAAAGTTAGATTATGTACCTCGCCATGATAGACGTGCAGGAAAATCCATGCCATCCCGGAAAAAAGTTTGACTAGGCTGTAATACACTTAAACTCATGATCAAATTGTGTGCATATCGGTCATAATGGCATGTTTGAAACTTTTTTTTTGAAACAATTTAAGCTGTCGCATTACGTCGAATCAATTAACCTGTTTACATTTTGATGCATAAATTTAATAGAAAAAAATCAGTTTGAAAGCCAGATGACTCTTCCGCATTATGATGGTCCAAGCTTGAACATAGCTGTTTTTGATAAAGTTTTCGGTTTTCCGGGTCTAAATTTAAAAGATGGGTTAGCTCGATTACCTTGAGTTTCGCGTTATTCATTTTGCTTCAATTGTCAATAATAATAAGTCTAACGGAGGTTAGATTGTGTAGTTAGTAGTATGAAAAAGCCATTTCTGGCTAAACAAAAAAAACGGTTATTTGCGCGATAAATGACAAAAAACTTGTTAATTTCCACTTGATTTTATTGCAGTAAGTTGTACCCAAGTATGCCCTTGGGTCTCAATAATTCTTACATGAAAAATTTTTGAGGCGTATTCACTCGCAAAGCATCAACCTATTTTTTAATTGAATAAATCATAGAGTTTAGGTTAATGATTGAATTAGCAAGAATATCAAATTTTCCAGCAAATCCTTCAAAAACGTATCCAAAAAACTCATTTTCGGCTTCTCCATCATCTTTCTGAACAGTTTAATTTATTGGTTGGATCCATTGATCTCCATTGTTCTGTTCGTTTTCTGCAACGAAATTTTCAATGTATTGCTGCAAATTCGATGGTAGCTCAGCGGATGACAATATCTCACTCTTCATTGGACTGAATGTTATTGTATCGTCATTCCAAATGTCTTTTACGCTTGATGATATGTTCAACATTTTACAAAATGAACTTTTCACAAAAATAAGCATAAAACAAACTTATCCATATAATTTATTATAATGAAGATGTAATGCGGTGTCATCTGAAATGATATAAAATTTGGTGAAATTGAACTTAAATCATCAGTTACATAGATAGTCATCATAATTTCATTATATTGTGCTCCATTATTCTACAAAATGCTGCAAGTTTCTTCAACCATCGAAGATCTTTTTGAGGATGATAAACTTACTTTTCCACCAATGGAAAGTGAACCAGCATCGGAATCACCATCAAAATATGTAGAAATTTTCATCGTAGAAAACGTTCAAGCAACCGAAATTTCGAATTTGAATCCTTCTTTGGCTTCTATGCAAAATCAAATTGATTAACAAAATGCTCCCCTAAAAGTAATGGAAAACAAGTTGGCGACAGCTAACTCTTTGATTATTCAGTTAAATGAAGAATTAAATTCTTTAAAAATATTGCGCATAATCAATCAATAATCTTTAACAAAGTTTGGAGAACAAACTGGTTTAAGGTCTCTACCTTTCCCTACCTCAAGTAGGTAGGAAATCAGTTGAAATTTGGTAGGGCGACCTTTTGTGAGGGAGAAGAATTCCTCTCTCGCTGCACATGAAATGGCCGACAGTCTCTTTGTCCGGTGACAATGTTGGACCTCGCGGAAGCCCTGGTCGGCTGACTACTGAATAAGTGAACTTAGTGATGTAAATTGATTAATCTACAGTGGAAATATCTTCTAACTTTTCTTAGTGTGAAAAATAAAGTATAAGTTGGTGACAAATGGTGTTTAAGTAACTATATTCAAGTGAACAAATCCTGTAAATCGCAACAATTTGGAGGCAGAATCTCATTGAGCAAAAGTGGTATTAGACAACCTGTTCCAGTGGGAATAAAAAACTGTTAATCCGTCCGGATTTTAATACTGACTTAAACTTTTTGGCGATAACCGGTTTCGCGTTAAGCCAGAAATGGCTTTTTTATACTATGGTAGTTTTACTGCTGTTTTAAACGATTTAAATTGGAATGGAACTGAATTCACCAATTTGCTGATTTTGAGTCATAATCCATTGATGAAATCATGAAAATTACTTTTGCAGAAAGAATTTGTGATAATTTCATCAGATTGATTTCAATGAATTGAACTATCGTTCACCGGAACTTTTATAATAACTAAATTTAACAATGACATGCATACTTCAGGACCTGAAATCGAGGTAAAAAAGCTGAAAATGTTCACGGGAAGAGTTGCATTATCGCTAAGACCCTCGTCATGCTTGTGCAATCACAGATTCCTAGTCTTTGCTTGGAATGAATCAACTATGATAAAATAGCGTAGTTTGAATTGAACAAGTTAGATGGCACCAGAAACTTTGATCATGAGGCATGAAAAATTTTCAATTTCAGTTTTCTTAATCTACCAATGGTTCCATTTATTCCATAAATTTTATTGATATCATAAGCGAGTGTCTTTCAAGAAGAAACCTAAAAATGCTGTTTGTGACACTTTGATAAATGACGTACACTTCGAACCAAAAAGAGGATAACTTCATCACTGAAATTGACCATTGAAGCCAACAACGAGCTTACAATATTTACTTCTCATGAAACATTAATGCTATAGTCACTTTCATTTCAATTGTCATGATTATTTTGATGAAATGAAAATGCCTTTTTTCATTATCTATAAATGTGAATTTCTTCACTTTGTAAGAATAAAGTTTCCAAGTCTTCAATAGAAAAAAGTTTATGTTTTCACATCAAATATGGGAAATAGTACAAAACTAATACACGAAATAATCAGAATATTTATTCGTAAAAGAACATTTCTATTATGTAAATTGTCAGTTTTGTTGCATTTGAATACAATAATTAAAAAATCTAACTAAAACACACTTCATTTAAAAGATTCCTTGAAGTCCTTTCAGGATTATAAGAGAATAAACAAAATTAAAAATTATGATTTATGATTAAAAATAACTAAATCGGCTGGATCCGGAACTTTGACACTCTTGCGTTTCAGCTTGATTGTTGCCCAGTTCAGTTTGCTCTTGACAAAAGCTCTGTAAAGATTTGAGGTAGGAGCTTCGACCAGAATGTGTGACAGTAGCGCAGCAAAGGTACTCAACGTAAGGTTGACGATAAATTCACAAAGCTATAAAAGAAAACATTTCAAATTTAGATACACAAAAATTATTGAAAATAAATTAAAATGGACAATAAATACCATTGTATAATGACCAAACGCTAGCCTTTCGCGTAAATAGGCATAACGCCACCAAAGAATAGGAAAATGTAAAAGGTAAATGCTAAAACTTAGCTTTGCCAGAGGAAAGAATCCTTTCCACGAAAGGAATGAAGCAATTATTCCTAACATAGAAATAAAAAGAACAAGTTATTAGCTGATTTCTTATTAATTGTCACAATATCACAAATACTCACCGCCATAGCCAGAAACACAGGCAAAAATAACCCATGAAATACAAATTGACCAACATGTTCTATGGAAAGTTGCATAAAAACCGGCAGATAAAGGTGTCCATTGATCTCCAATATTCCATGTGTAAGTATAAAACAAGATTGTAAAAAGACCAGCCATAGAGAGAGCCCAGCAAGTAAATGTGACTGGCCATGAGAGGTTAACATTTTTCTTGTAATAAATGAAGAAACCGGCAATAAGTCCAACACAATAAGGGCCTAAATGTATATAAGTTGGAGTGTAGATTGAAAGAGCTGCTCCATCTGTAATGACCTCTGATGGTGAATTGTAAATTACTGTTGGTGCTGCCGATTGTAAGTAAGTGCGTAAAAAGACTGAAAGCATGGAGATCGATATTGTAGCATAAGCCAACCAAAGTGAACGTTTACCAAACCTAATTTCAAGATAGAAAATGTTAGTCGACGTCGAGAAAGAAAATAAAATGACCAAAATGGTTCCTTCAATTTACATACTTGTAAAATGCAATGAGAAGTGCGATTCCTACAATGTAAAGCTGCATATCAGCCGAAATGTACCAAGTGTGGAGCATACAAATTTTTGCCTCTGGAAACCAATTATTTACAAAGAGTAAAGTTGCCCACCAATAATTGCTGCACTTGTCTAGCTGATAGTTGAAATATTCTGACCACAAGGGTCCAGTTCCAAGGGAAGGAATCAAAAAGAGCAGAGCCAAAGTTGACAAAACGGAAGGGAAAAATCGAGCAATCCGATTGAGAAACAATTCACAAACATTTATCCGACCAGTCCTGTGAAGTGAGCCAAGTGTTGTGTAAACTAAAAGCAGTGCTCCAATGCAAAAAAATGTATCAACCAAAACCCAGCCGTTGAGGATGAATTGAAAAAGGAAACTTTGAACAGCAAAAATGTAACTTCTTGCAAAGGCAAAAGTCTCCTTGATTGGTATCAGGTAGGTGTGAGTGTACACAATCCATGACATGGAAAGCACTCTGATTCCATTGATGGCATTGAGTGAACCCTGTTTAGTCCGAGTTTCCATGAGTGAAGATAAATTGCGTAAAATGGAGAATGACATTAAAATTGAATGGATGCAACTATTGGGTTTGAGGAGGCATGTAAAACTGCTCTTCTTTCCATCATCCAGTGACTTTTTGTTGATTATTGGGTTGATAATCAAGTCAAACAAGGTTCCAACAAGGGATGAAAAGCCAAGAAAACCAAAGACGCCAAGAATTATCGATTGAAGTCTGTTAAACTCGTAACCTTTTTCAACTTCACAGTGACTTACATTGGCATGCATATGAATACCTTTCAATGCTGTTGAAAAAATGAGAAGAGAGTCAAAAAATTTGTAAACATCCAACAATAATCTCAACTTACAGTAATCAATAATTTGTTCAAAATCGTCTTTGGAACACGAAGAGGGAATACAGACGCCAACTCGACCGACTCTTTCATAGCAAACATGAATCAATTCTGCTATTTCTTCTAGAAACTAAACTTATATTAGAGAATGAATTTTGAGTAAAATTTGACAAAACTTACTGTTCCTTCAATTGGTGTATTTGTGAAGTTGAAAATGCGACTCTGTAAATTCAAATGTTCAGGTCTTGGTGGCAAGTATATATTATATGTAACCATGCAGTATTGACCACGAATACTTTGACCCAAATTTTGCTCAAAAGAAACCCTTGAATCATCAACTTCTACTATTGAACCAGAAGGTTTAATTTTTAGAGGGAGTTCAAGTCCAATGCATTGGTCGAAGGAACCAAAATCAGTAATTGTTCCATCCATCAGACCAGCTGAAAAGGGACGACCAGTTGCATCAATCACTAGATATAAAGAGGAACCAAAATTAGATTACATTTAGTCTTGGGAAATTAAATTAAATTTTTTTTATCAAAGGTCATAACTTACTTTTGAAGATCCAAGATTTTTGATGCTTGATTGCATTGAGTGCCTTGAACAGGGTTATTGTACAGCTGCGACTAAGCCTCAATTGAGGTAAAATATCAAGAGCTTCACCTAGAATCAGCTTTTCAAAGGAATCCATTGCTTGGCCAAATACTTTATTAAAAGCCAACCAAGTAAGCTTTTCTTTGGTTGTAGGACTGAGTTTTGCAAATTTATGGGATATTTTTTCATCTTTTGATTTTTCAATTTCAGCTTGAATGGAACTCAAAACAGATTTCAACAATTCTTTACTGAATTTAAATGTTCCATCCAATGTCTTATCCAAACGATCCTTTGGTGTGCCAAGTGAGTGAACTGCATTCAAAACAGAATCAATTTTAGATCCAATGTCATCATCGTCATCATCATCAAATTCAAAGGACCATCCTAAAGAGGGTAAAAGGGTAAGTAAAACAACTAAATTGGTGATTAACATAACAAATTTAAAACGTAGTAAAACTGATAACAAAAAAGTAACAAAATAAAAAGATTTACATAAATAATAGGGAAACTGATGATGTTTACTTGAACGACTACAAAAAGTATTTAAGCAGAAAAATAATCAACTTTGGGTTTCATCTATTGATCACCTGGAAAATACCAGAAAGGGTAAGAAAAAAACGTTACAATTTACCTTTAATTGGTCAACAAGATGAGAGTCTACCAACAGCAACCAAAGATGGAGAAAAAAATATAAAAAATATAAAAAACGGTTACTATCTGAGACAAACAAAAAAAAGGTTTAGATTAAAAACAGAGATAACTTATTTTCCAGACTCAAAGAGTTGCCGAGCAAGTCAGAGGGCAATGAGTGCGATGAGGTAAACAAGGGATCATTCAAGTACCAACAGTAGGTAGAGATGACATCATTTTCCATGGCAAATATTTTTGATCTTCTGATCAAAATTAACTTTCAAACCGCCAAAACTGCGGAAACGGAAAGGTGAAGCCTCACCTTAATTGTATCTTTTCTGATGAACTAGATTACTATTGAATTTAGACAATATTATTTCTTGTTCATGATCTCAGTTATGCTCAGATTGTTGAAATGGGTTTGAAGTACGTTACATGTTTCTTAATTATTTAATATGTCTTTTTGGTTATTTCCTGGTTGTCTGGGTTTTATACATAACCAGATCCTTGTGAGTCTCTTCCTTATCAAAGAAGTTTTTTGATTCAAGAATGATGGCTGGTCACATTTGATAACTTTATCAAATATGAGCTTATTTAGGCTTACCTGAAAATGGTCATTTTCAGGCCAAAACAAGGACTCAAAAATACTGATAGGTAAGGATAAATTGGAATAAAGATGGCACTGTTAAGAGAGATAAGAGATTTGATAAACTGTAAATTAACAAATTAAATTTTCTTCTCTTTTTCTAAAGGCGCCATCTTTTAGTGCATCATGAGTTGACCATTCATTTTTTCAATTTTAACCTTTAATTATAAATTGTTTTTAACTATTTTTTATCCGTTATGACTTAATTTAGTTACATTTAAACATTCTGTGCCCTTATTGGTTCCGTTATTTGTCGGATTTTTACCGGTTTTGTGTTTAAAATGAGGTAAGAGACACATTGTTTGTCTGAGTGAATGTCAGAAGATATGGTTTTTGTCTCCTCAACAGAAAAGTCTTATGATTTTTTTCTGGTTTATGTTTAACATGTTTAACCAGAAATAAACCAACTCACAACTAAACTGGACTTATATCGATATTTTTCAGGTCAACTGATGGTCGGTCTTTTTCGTAAGGATTGGTTTTGTGTTAACAAAGATTAAACAACCATTTTTTTAGCCTAAACTGTTTTACCCAAAATTTAGTTTTCTTACTCTTTGGTTACCATTGATTACTTCAACATTTTGTCGTCACGTTAAATGAATCCTAGAGTTTCATCAATTGCCAAGGGAAAATAAAAGATGCAATCAAATTTATGCATTTACCCACTGGTTTTATACAACCATTTCTCTCCCTTACCTTTTCTTTGCACTCACTCACAATCTATCATCTTCTGTCAGCACAAAAACAAATTGGCAAAGTTGACAGTTACGTGTTAAATGTTGCCTTCATCTTTACACTCTTTACACCTTTACCCGGTTTCAACTTGCACTTGATGCTTCCATCGTTTTGGGTACAATATTTACTGTTGCAAAATTTTTCTTGCTGAACGCTGCTAATTCGTGAGTCCAAACCATCAGCTGCTTCATCATCACCATTATTGTTCACTTACATCTCATCACCTTAACTCAAAAAAATATGATTACAGTGAGAGTAAGAAAAAGTGAGAGACAGATAGAGAGATAAAAGATGTTTACTTCTTTTTTTGCTTTTTGCTTCACTTTTCTTGCCATTTTGCAAAGAAGCATGAATATGATAGATAAAAGGAGCACAAGAATGCTGATAATGGATTCCTCGGATGAAATGAATTGATAAATAAAAAAAATCAATACAGGTAGCTCAACATTATCTGCGCAGTGAGAGGCAGTAATGTTAGACAGTGGAAAAAGACAGAAGGTTGGAGAGTGAATTGAGATGAACAAAAAAGGGTAACTAACAGAGTGAGAGTTGAAGTGAGTTTTGGTTGGGTTTTACTGAGGAAAAATTTTCTCTCTCTCTCCATCATCATCATCATTTTCATCTTCTTTCCTTTTTTTGCTTCTGATCATCTCAGTTGGTATTTACTGTTAACCAGTGTTGAACCTAAAAAAGCCATCATAATAATCATCAACATTTCTACTTGTTTATTTCCTGTGCTACTTTTTGTGATGATAAAACATTTGGGTTTTGACCATTTTGGTGTGTGTTGCACTTGTGATTACAGCTGACCAGGAAGAAATTGATCAACTAAAAGGCAACCAAAGGAACCAAACAAATTTTGCTTCATTTCTCATCAAGTTTCAACTTGCACGAGTTGTCGGTCATCTGATGCAACAATGAAACGAGATGAAACCTCGGCTAAACCAAAATGGATTATTCATTGAAAACATTGCAGTCAATTGGTAATCACAATCAGTGTGTGTCAACTTTAACTCCATTTTGCAACCATTTTAACCACCATTCCATTAAATTGTATTTCATTGCACAGATATCAAGCTTGAACAGCATTTCATTTCCAATGTGAACTCATTTTAAGAGATATTTTTCTTACCCTTTAACCTTATTTTTCGTTATCAATTTTTTGGGTGCAAAATGGGTAACTCTTTAAATGGTTCAGTGAAAAGTATGAATACCATCTTTACATGATTTGCTTTTAAGGCTTCACTTTCTACTGAAACTTTGCCTTTACCATTTTGGCTGTGCTTTTCTCCTTCTTCTTCTTCTTCCTTCATTCCCTGGATTTATTTATCCATTCATCAAATGCTGTTTCCAGTCTTGAGCTGCTTTTACAGTTTCTTGTGAATCACAATTGTTGACTATTGCAGAACCTTCAGATCAATGTGCCTAAAAGTGTTTCATAGAACCATCCGATATGATGATGTTGATGCTGATGCTATTGTTAAAGCCAATCTCATTGCTCTGTTCACTTTGTTGTCTACCATTGTTATCGTTAACCATGCTCATAATACCAGCCTTTGGTCACAACTGGCAAAGCCATGGATATCAAGGTGACCAGCCACATGAATTTGGCCATACGTAAGTATCATCTTTCAACATGTGCATGTTGACGAAAAGAAAAAAGTTTTTCGTAAAAATCATCTTTTCGTAAACATAAAGTGCCGTCAAGGAAAAGTCCAACATCCAACAATTTAACCATTTGATGTCAACTAATGTTTATCTCTTTCTATGTTTCAGAAATGGTGATATTGGATCGAATATTTCACAAATATTGAATTCCTTTTTTTCAAGTGGCTACGATAAGCGAGTTCGACCCAATTATGGTGGACCACCGGTCAAAGTGGGTGTAACGATGCACATATTGACTATTAGTTCAGTCTCGGAGGTTCAAATGGATTTTACGGCCGATTTTTATTTTCGCCAATTGTGGAGAGATTCTCGCCTTTCATTTAAAGCACGTCACGGAATCTCACAAATCTTGGTAGATGCTGAGGTTGCCGACAAGATTTGGGTTCCAGATACATTTTTTGCCAATGAAAAACAAGCCTATTTTCACGAAGCTACAACCAAAAATACCTTTTTACGTATAAGCCATGATGGTCAAGTACTTCGAAGTATAAGGTAAACAGCCAATGTCAACACAAGTTGCTTTTTAATCAATTTTTCAAACAAACAAACTCACCTTTTCTCTACATTTTTAATTGAATCTTTTCAACATTTAGATTAACGGTAACTGCAAGTTGTCCAATGAATTTACAATATTTTCCAATGGACAGGCAAAAGTGCAACATTGAAATTGAAAGTTGTAAGTTGAATGAACCAAAGTGAAAAAAGAACTGTTTACCCAAAAGAATACACAAAAAAAACTCGAAACTCTTGATACTTGAGTCGAGAACAAGAAAAGTGTTTAATTGTTAAACATGGAAATGAGTGTGAAGCTAAACCTATTTTTACTCCTTTACTCTATTAGATGGTTATTCAATGACGGATATAATTTACAATTGGGTTGATGAGAATGCAGTTAAAATTGATAGTAACTTGATGCTTCCTCAGTTCTCAATTGCCAGTATACGTCAAAGCTGGAAGTATATTAGTTTAACTACAGGTAAGTTACTCATGATTCCTTTCAAGATGAAACAGCCAAAGAAGAAGAATAAGAAGAAGAAAGAAGCAAAAAAATCCTCATAAATCTCATCTTACCAATACTAGTTGATAGACTCTTATTGAAAGTTGGTAATAACAAGAATGATAATAATGAATAGAAACGAAGTAATTTGTTTTCACTTCATCTCACCATTTCAACACCAATACCATGTACATACACAATAATGTGTGCATTACTTGGAGTAAAAAAAAAGAGTATTAAAAAGCATAAAGAACTGAGAGAAAGAAGAAAACTATTTTTACGAGTCTAACGATGTTTACAGTTTGCTGTTTATCCAGGTGAATAGTTGGCACAAATTTAGGTTAACCTTCATCTCTTGATCAACCCTTGAATCTTGACAATTTGTTTCTCTAAACTTGCTACAAATGATTGTCACACACTCTTAAAAATGTAATCTCAAAACGATTGTTTCTCTTGACAAAGAAGAGTAAGAATATGAAAAAAGCAAAAATTCAATCGATAAAGTTAAATCTCATATTCATACAACATATTCAGATATATATATTTATAATACTCTGTCTATTTCCAGCTTATAATAAATGAATATCAACTTTTACTTTACGCATTATTATTATTGTGAACAACTCATAATTGTGCACAATCAGGTTGAGAAACAAAAAGCGAATTGAAATGAAATCTTTTTCCCTCTTTCCCTTCCTCTCATCATTATTACATTTTTTTCCCTCCCTGCCATTCCTATCCTTCCCTTTACCAAAGACAAATATATGAATATATAAAGCTTTCATTATCCATTGATAATAATATTGTGATTAGTTTTAAACATTGATGTTGCCCTCATATCCACTGATGAACCATTTAACCTTTAGTTTTCAAATCGACATTCAATCGAAGATTATCCTTTGAGAAAATTTTGTTTTTCCATTGAAATTTCGTTTCTTTCATTCTTGGCAAAACATTAAAAGATTGAAAAGTTTGCTTCGTTAGCTCATTGATTAGCTTTCTAATAAATTAACATTCATGGATATGCTTGGTGGCTTATAATGCTCTGAATGGCATTTTTTTGTCTTCAAATCAATTTTTCATTACTCAAAATTGTATCCTCAACAGAATGTCCAGTTGAGTTTTTTTTTGTTTTGTTTTTGTTACCATTTTTCCTTTGACTTGTGTGATTGTTGAACTAAATTGAACCATGAATGGAACCTAAAAAAGTGAACAAAAAAATCAGTAACCAGGAATGATGGCAAAACTTAATGATAATGATTCAACGCTTTGTGATTGAGCAAATTAGTTAATTAAAGTTTTGCCATTTTCACTTTGACTTTGCTCTTTTTCAGTCTTTGAAAATTTAATGAACAATTTAAAGGTTTAAAGTGACAATAATTTTCTGCTGCTGATTATTACTGATTTAATGTTCATTTACTAATAACGTCAAGTAATTAATTGAGTTGCAATGGCACAAAATGGTGTAATTAAAAAATTTAATTGAATTTGTTTGCTCCATTCAATATCAGGGAATCAAAGCGATTGACAAGTTTATCAGTAAACAAGTTGAATGAAAAGTTCAATATTTTTAGGTGAAAAGAAGTGAAAGAGGAAAAAGCAATAAATTTCAATCCAATCTAGTTTTCATTTGGATTCATTATTTTGCTACTTTCTTCTTCTTCTTCTTCCTTGGCTTTGCATAATTTAACTTTAAATTGAATATTGATTTTTTGTTTTCGCAACTTTTTTCTTCTCTTTTTTTCTTCTCAACTCAGGAAATTATTCTCGTCTCATGTGCGAAATTCAGTTGACTCGAAGTATGGGCTATTACATGATTCAAATTTATGTTCCAGCAAGTTTAATTGTGATCATTAGTTGGGTCTCTTTTTGGCTTCATCGTAATGCAACACCGGCTCGTGTCCATCTTGGTGTTATTACGGTTTTAACCATGACCACTCTCATGTCTAGTACCAACTCTCAATTGCCCAAAATTTCGTACGTAAAGAGTATCGATGTTTTCCTGGGAACTTGTTTCGTCATGGTTTTCGCTGCCCTTCTCGAGTATGCGGCTGTTGGTTACATTGGTAAGCGAATTTCAATGAGAAAAAATCGCTTCCAACAATTGGCCAAGGCGGCTGAAGAGAAGCGTCGAAAGCTTGTCGAGGCAGCAGCAGCAGCAGCCGCTGCCGCTGCTGCAGCCACATCCTGTGAACCCATTCACCTTTCATCCTCGGACCCAAGTGGACCCCAATCTCACCCAATCAACTGCAACAATAGCAACAACCCTTCCTCTATAAATATCAGCACAACAACCAATCCAATGAATATAAATAATATCAACTCCAATGGTACCAACAACAACAATAATAATAATAATTCATAATCCAAATAATAATAATAATCTTAATAATATAAATAATTCCAATAATGGAAGCTCAATAACAACCCTTACAACTGTTGCTACTGCTGCTGGAGGTAACGTGTCTTCGGTTGGCCCAATGGGATCAACTGGCTCTACGTTTAACCAGACAACAGGGCAACTTGTTGTTGACTCAGCCTTGCATGGAAGTGGCCTAACTGGTACCAGTGTTTGTAGTGCAAGTGCAACTGTGGGTGTGCCAAGTGTACCTAAACATCAACTGTATCAACAGCAACAAGGACAACCTCATCATCACCTGACCCACCATCATCGTTCATCCTATCAGCAACACCATCAACACCTTCAACAGCAACTTCAACAACAACAACAACAGCACCAATCCATTGGTACATTAACCAGTGTCTCTAATCTAGGTGTTGGTCTAAGTGTTCCTTCAAACCTAGTTACTTATGATTTTTCAGGTAATGGTCTAAGTGGAGGTAGTGGGAACCTCATGATGACCACCAATCCTGAAATGATCAACTGTTCCCTTGGTCCAGGTGGACATGGTGGCTCAATGGGATCAATGCCTTTAGGTTGTTCTAGAGATGATCAAGATCAAGAAACTTTGGTTACTCATGTGGGCCATTATGCAACACTGCGTAGGCCACTTTTGGATCGTTCATCTTTACCATGTAAAGGTGCTGCCAGTTCAGGTGTAGTTGGAGTAACAGGGGGAACAAGTGTAGGTTCAACTGGAGGTTCAATGCCTGGTCAACCAAATCAAAAGCAATTTTTACCTCATCGACCTCAGGTACGATCAAGCCTTTTATTCAAATTTTTTTTCATTTCCAAATTTAAATTTATTTTCCATTCTCTTGCAACAACAATAATCTTGTCGAGAAAAAATTGCTTTTCCATTTTTTCGCTCACTTGCAAAAACAATCAACATTTCAATTTGCTTCTCATATCATGCATTTGTTTACCTTCAATTCAATTGCTTGTATTCATCATTTGTGTTCAGAGTAAATAGATTTCTTCTTCTCTTGTTTAGTTGATATCTTTAGCTTCATCTTCATCAACTATTGACAATTGTTCGATTGTGTTTATCTTCATTTTTCGTTTCATGAACACAGGCAATGAAACCTCTTCAATTGTGACTTTCATCAATTTTCATTTGCTCCAACATTGAAACTCGACTTTTCAGGAGCCAAAAAAACTAAAGGTGAAAATGAAAAATTGTAAATGATTTAATTCAAAAGGAGGAAAAGTCAACCTTTTCATTTTGCCATGAAACGCACAATTGGCTTTCCATTGAATAACCAACAAGATTCGTCAATTGGTGAATTATCTTGAGAGGAGAAGAGAGAGAAAAGAAGAAAAAAACCTTTTTTGTTTAAATGATTGAGATATTTCTTCTCAACATGAGCGAATTGTTTTTCAATTGAACTTTTCCAAACCTTTCTCAAGTGTAATATCATTGAGCAAAGAAAAGGATGAAGAAAGGGAAAAGGTAAAGAGAAGAAGAAATGAGTTTCGAGTAAAAATTGAATTTAATCTTAATTTAACTTTGTCAATCTTAGATTTATTATTTTACCTTTCGTTTTGTTTTCAAAGGTAGAAACCGTATTGAGACTTGAGTGGTAACAACAGGAAAAAAAGACGAATGATTATGGTGAAAGTGGATGAGAATGAGAGTGGAAAAATGAAATGATGAAAAGAGAGAAAAGAAAAATATCTAAAAATTATCTTGCTTTCTTCTTCTCCTTTTCTCTTCTGAATCACCAAGGAATTCAATTCTGAAACTTTTATTCACTCTTTGTTTTCTTGCCAGGATTCAGTTTTTTCGCCAGGTTTACCTTTTTCTTCACATTAAATCTCCAATTTGTCCCTTTTTAACCTCATCATTGCATTTCTTTCTTTACCTACCCAATAAGGTTTCCTTATTGAAACAAATAAATCAACAGAAAAGGAAAACTCACTGAACCCAATATTTTTTTCCAGTCGATAGCCGCAACTGACTACAAATATTACCAAATAACATGATCCATAACTGCAATAGGTTACCTTGACTACTTTACCTTGATAGCCATTGAATCATCCACTTGAACTCAAAGTTAATCATTTTTAAGTGGAAAAGCGTTTCAAGAGAAAAAGAAAAATTGAATTGAAAAAAAGTCGAACATTTCTCATTTCGTAATAATTTTCACAAAAGTTCTGCCAATGAAAAAGGTACAAAAAAGTTGTTCGACAAGTGGTGAAACAGAAAATTTGAAAAATTCTATCACGGAATCAGCTTCGAAAGTTCAAATGCAAAAATTCTGTTCTAAAACATTTCGAGTAAAAACGGAAACTAAAACTTGGATTTTACTCGAGATTTTTACCAAAAATTTATGAAACATTTAATCATCGAAGTAAATCGTAGAAAAAGAATCGAAAATTCCGAAAGATACTCGGATAATTTCGATCCACTTTAATGTTGAATTTGTATGAATCTGAACAAAAATTTACTACGGAAGATCCAAGAAGAGATTGCGATTCGATTGGAATTGATTTAAGATTAAACGACGAATGTCTGGATTTTTGAAAGATTCAAATTCCTTGTTCTCAATCAATGTTTGCTTAAAGGTTTCAAAATCTTTAACCATGGAACTAAATCAAAGAAAATGAATGGAAAATTTGAAAATTGCCTTTGAAAAGAATACATTTTTCTGCCAAAAGTGTATTGATAATTCCCTAGAAAACAAACTTATTTCATGGGTAAATTGAAGCTTTTTACATGAAACCATTTCGACTCAACATTCGACTCTTTTTATTCTCACTTTTCATCAGATATTCTTACATTATTCAAAAGCAACTGAATTTTGTGAGCAAAAGTAAAAAAAATTGGCCATCTTTTTGGTTAACATTTTTCGTTTTTTTCCTCTTTTCTCCATACTTTTTTCTCGATCAATTTCTTTGCATCTTCTTCTTCTTTTCCCCTTTCAAACTCTTGCTCTTCTCTCACTGTATTCACACTGCCAATACACACCATCACTTGATATTATTACTATTAAATGTCTATTTTGTTATGTATTTTCATGAGCACTCCATGGATTTTATATATTTGGCTAAAAGAACAAGAACAAGTTTGTGTAAAGGTTGAGGTTCAATTGATTTTACCTTTTTTCTTCCCTTATTTCTGGTCCTTTCCTCACAAATTGTATTACCAATTTTGTCCTTTTTTCCCTTTCTTCTTCTTCTTCTTTATGGACTCATCTTCCATTTTCAATCTAATGTACATTACAAGACAAAACTTAGTTTTCCTCCTTTTCCTTCCTTCCAAACCTTTTTACCGATGGACATAAATCAAGTTCAGTTCCATCAGTTAAGGTGTTTTATTGAAATTCTTTGCATAACCTGAGATAATAATTTTCTCTGCATTACTTTCTTACAACATTTTGCTCAACCTTTTTTTACATTTACCAATATCAGCTCATAAAAGCACTTGAAATTGTTTAAATTTAAATTGCACATTACATCTCAAAGTAATTCAATTTCATTTAAAAGCCATTTCTTTTCACACCAATTTTTCACCAAAAAAAAGAATCAAAAAGATTTCACAAAACTTTCGATATCATCGATTAGCTATAAAATATTCAATTTCAAACTTTCACTTTTTTCGTTTACCTTTTCAAAAGTTTCGTTTCAACATGAATTTCAAGTTGATTACAAGTTTCTCAAACGCAACCAAAAGCGAGATGAAACAATCAACTTAATTGATGAATGAATATCATAAATAAAGTTCTGAATGCTGGAAAAGCTCTGAAAATTTCTTCTCTCAATTTCTCTTTGAACCTGAAAATTCTCAGCTTTTAATTCATCAATTTTCCTTGTTGATCAACACTCTTCATCTAATCTGCTCTTTCATCTCTTTTAATCATATTATCATTAATACTATCTGCTTATCATTTTTTATTATACTTTACGAGTTGATTAATTTTTCATGAAAGTAAAAACTCGAAATATCTTGTTGGTTAACTGGAAGCAATAAAAAGGCGAAGTGTAAATGAATGTAGAGCAACAAAAAAACAAAGAACTTGTGTGATGAGAAAAAAGAGGAAAAATTCCGAGTTTAATTAATCATAATTCAATTTAAATAAAAGCGCCAAACTCGAACATTAATTTTTTTCTCCTTTTCTTTGTTTACATGATGAAACGCAAAAATTGTATAATATCATTAGACTTTTGTTTTTTGCTTCTCAGCTCATTTTATTCACGCTAAGTTGATTATAAAAGAGCAGATTGTTGAGCAAAGAGTTTTGCCATTTTCAGTAAACAATTCAAAGTTTCAATTGAACATGAAAGTTGAACAAAATGTTGAGTGACAATTTTCATTGATTTGTATCGCTAATCAAATTAAGGTGAAAAAATTGAATCCAATTTCAATTGCTGCACTTTTCATTTGGAAAATTAATGTGCAACCAAATTTCACTGCAAAAGATTATTCAATTGGTTAGTCTTGAAATGAGCAATCAATGAACTTTTTCTCAATCTTTTTTTTCTCGCTCTTCAATTGCATAGATTTGCGATTCTGCAACAGACGATAAAGTTTGCTTTTCGCTCTTGTTCATTCTCTCATCATTAACAGAATCATTTGTTACTCATCGTTTTGGTTGAGTTTTAGTCAAGTGAAATGATGATGATGAGCGTAAGGAGGAGACCGAAAAGTAACCATCATTTGTAGATTGTATTGAGTCAAATTGTGTAGAAAAACATTGTTATCTTGAGAATGTTCTGATGAATACCTTTTACTTTCTTTTCTTTTTCTTCTTCTTTTTTTTGCTTCTTCTTCTCCGTTTCCTGCAATTTTTCAAACTCACTCTCAACCAATTTTCCATCTTTATCATCATCATCAGTTTGAACATTAAATGGAAAAAGGCTATCATTATGCATGGGAAAAGGTGTAGAGAAAAAAAAGATATTCATTCTTTTCCTTTTGTCGATTCCTTTTCTTCTGCTTTCCATCTTATTCATTTGTCCCATTCAATAGTGATATCAATATAATCCATTTACCCATCTCAGGTGTTCATCACTGTATTCATCTTTACAAAAGAAAACTTCAACTCAAAGTTTACTGAAAAAAGTGTTGAAATTATTTCGCAAAGTTGCTTATAATAAACACTTCTTTATCGATCAAAAGTGATTAACCATTTGAGGTAAAAATTGTTTGTTGAGTAAACCTTTTTTTTCCTCGTAAAGATTGGCTTCTCTTCAATCAATGGTTAACCTAAACTGTGTGTGTCTTCTGTATCAACCTTGTATCAATATTGACCCTTGGTCGATGTAAGCAATTGAGTCAATCAAAAGATTAACCTGACTTGGAGTTAATCATCTCAATGGTTTTAGTGTTTATCGAAGAACATGGAAAAGATGAATTTTTAAATTTCAATTTTTTCCAATTCTAAACTCGATTTTATCAGTTGATTCAATCTTTGAATTTTTGCTCGAAAAGGCAACAAAAGTCTGCTTTTTGGTTTGTCTTTTCATTTATCACTTTGACTTTCAAAGTCAAATTTTTGAGTTATTTGAAAGCATTCATTCCATTCTCTGGAATTTCAACATTTCTCTCAACTGCAATCTATAGTTTTTGACTTGAATTTTATTCCTTGCTCTTCCAATGATCTTCCATTTATTGGTATCATGAGTAAATCTGTGTTAAGGAGAAACCTAAAAATACTGTTTGTGACACTTTGATAAATGATGATTGTTCATTTAGAATCAAAAAGAGGACAACATTATCACTGAGATTGACCATTGAATCCAACAAATGAA